CTGAGGGGGAGAAAGGGAAAAGAGAGAAAGGGAGGGAGAAAGAGAGAGAGAGAAACATCCATGTGAGAGAGACTCGTTGGCTGGTTGCCTCCCACATGTGCCCCAATAGGATTGGGGATCAAACTTAACTACCCCGCCAGGGCTTGCTGAGTCTTTTAAATGCACTAACAGACTCCGCATTAAAAAAATTTCCCATGAAAATTAGAGACTGTCTTGAAGTGTATTGAAAGTAACCTATGTTGCTCTGGCCCATGTGACTCAGTTGGTTGGGCATTGCTCTATGCACTGAAAGGTTGCCAGTTCGATTCCTGGTCCGGGCACATGCCTGGGTTTCAGGCTTGAACCCTGGTAGGGGGCATGCAGGAGGCAGCCAATCGATGTTTTGCTCTCACATTGATGTTTCTCCTCCTCTCCCTTCCTCTCTCCCTAAAAATCAATTTAAAAATATTTTTAAAAAGCAACCTATATTCATTTAAAAGAAAAAAAAAGGTACCACTATTATTCTTTATTCTGAAGTGTAAAGTTAGGGAGAGATTGAGAAAAAAGAGCTGTTTGCTTAAAAAAATAATTGTCATTTTGAGGGCTGACCCAGCTTTCATGGATAAAAGAAAAAGTTGAATTGTGTGAACAAAATGAAATATTGAAAATATCTAATTCTCTAAAGCACCACAGTGACCACTACACAATTTAATCTCTCTCCTCCAGTGAATACACAGTATGAGAGGCCAGGTTTCTGGTTTTCTGAGGCAGCCATTTAATCACTAGCAATTTAAATTCATTCATATCACAGCCGAACTCATTGCAACCTCCCTCCCAAGGCCTTAGAATCAAGTTGTGTTGTTATGATCAGACAATGTTAAGGATATTAAAAAACATTTTTTCTTACTGTATTTTTAAAATTTATCATTTTTAAATCTTTATTGTTGAAAGTATTACATAGGTCCTCCTTTTCCCCTCATTAACCTCTTCTAGCCCCCTCCCCCCTCCCAGGCCCTCACCACCCATTGTCTGTGTCCAAGGGTTATGCTTATATGCATACAAGTTCATTGGTTGATCTCTTCCCATCCACCCTCCCCAAGGATACTAAAATGCATTTTTATCTATTTCTTTTCCACCACAACTTTTTTTTTTCAAGTCTCTAATGCAAACAATTACTTTTAAATATGCCTTAAAAGAACAACCAGACTATTTTCTTTATGGAAGCAGATTCCTTCATCTCTAATATTCTGTTATTCTTCATTCTTATACCTGTCCTTCCTTTTTCTCAGTATTCCTGGAAGCACTCTGAAAAATGATCAAATACCTAATAAACAATTGGAAAGATTTTTGCATTGATTCTATTATCTCTAAGAAAAATGGAAAAGCAAATGGAGTCCATATTTGTGATGACCCTTCTATGTGTCAAACTCAGTTGTGGAATTTCCACACATGCTTCTTATGAATGCTGTAATCCTAAGAGGGTGCTGCGATTGCACCCATTTTGCAGGGGAGAAAATTGAGGCCCAGAGAGATTTAGCAATTGTCCCACAGATGTAGCTGGGCAAGAGTGGTATCTGACCCTAGTTGTGTGTAACTTCAAAGCTCATGCTCTTTGTAAACAAAGTAAAATATTATCCCTGGAATTTTGACTAATGTTATTTACAAATATAACCTTATATAAGCATGCCTTTATTTAATGACTAATATTTTCAAAGCACTATCACATATATCATTCCGTATCAGGGCAGCTGGTAGAAGGGAGAGGTTGTGGGGGTTGTTGTGAGGATTAGGAATAATGTATATAAAATATAATACCAAGTGTAAAACAAGTACTCAATAACTATTATTATTATTATTATTATTATTGATTTTCCCAGCAGACTTAGAAGGTAGGTAGTACAGTTGTTATCATTCCCTTTGAACAGACTTTTTCTATAAAGACTGAGCCCTTTCACACTCCACAAACAAGAATTACTTTCAAATTTTTATTTACTTACAGGAATTTCAAAATCCCATACTCAACTTCAGTTTGTTTGCCATGCAGGCGGGCAGGGCATGGGAGGGAAGTTGGCGTGAGACAGGCTGACAGTCTTTCCCAGCAGAGTCAAAATTAGAAATTTTGCCTTCAGTCTCCGCTGCACCTGAGCGATACCTAAGGATGTTCTCTCTCAGAAGCTGCATTACCTGCTCACAAGGGGTAATGGAGAGTCTTCCTTTCCATTTCTGACCTCCACCGGGAGGGGAGCGCCCCCTGCAGAGGCGTGGACCACGCTTGTTTATCAGTGAGAGTGGTAGCCTGACCAGAGCGATGGTTCCAGTTCTGGTTTGACTTCTGTGGCCACCTCAGGAAGCAGGACGTATGCAGGAACTGGATAGTAGGCAGCGAAGTACAAGAAAAGTGCTCAGTATCAGTGACTCACAGCGAGACAGGAAATCTCAAGCAGGCCCACCCTTCCTTCCTGCCTCGGTACCAGCTGAGCTACAGAACCACAGGCCACAGCCAACCTCGAGTCTCGGTGGTGAGCTGGAGCCCACAGAGGTAGGGCCTCTAAGTCAGCTCTCTAAACGGATTAGAAAAGCATGCTTGTCCATCCTAGAGAATAGCTTTTCTGTTGAGCTGTCTCTTGCACCTTCACCCAGTATCCCCTGGTTTATTCTGGTCTTTGTATTGTTTTTAAACATGAAAACAATGGGCTTGACACAATTCAACTGAGTGGCCCTCATTTGCACCATGTTTTACAAGCATGCAGGAAATGACAATAATCATCATTATCAATTAAATAGAGGCCCGGTGCATGAAATTTGTGTGTGTGTGTGTGGGGGGGGGGGCGCCTTAGCAAAGCCTGCACCCTTTCACAGTTCGCAGGCCCTCAGGGGATGTCCAACTACATTTTTAAAAAATCACCCTGTACTTAATTTTCTTACTAACTCCCTTCACTCTCACATTCTATTTCTTCTTTTTATTTAATTATTTTCTTGGCCTCACCCCATTTTAGCATCCTTCTCTTTCCTGCTTTCTTTCTCTCCCTCCCTTTGAACCTCCCGTGGCCCCTGTCCCTCCCTCTCTCCTCCCTTCTCTCCCTTCATTCCCTGTGTCTGTCTCCTTATTACTCCTCCCACCCTCCCCCCATTCACCTTTCCCTTGTGAGCCTGCACCCTGCCTCCCTCCCTCCTTCCTTATTATTACCCTCCGGCCCCCTGCCATGTTCACGGTTTCTCTTTTAAACCTTCCCCTTTCCTCTCTGGGACCTGCTGCCAGCCCGGCCTGAGCGCACTTTGATATTAAAGCTTCTGTTCAGGGGGCGTTAATCCCCAGCACAGGGCCCAGCCCTGGCCAGGCCTTCACCATCCCCCCTTCCCCGTCCTCCCTGCCACCATCTTCCCCCCATTCCCTGCCGGAGACACCCCAACTTCTAGTCAACAAAGTACACTTAACATGCCACCAACCTAACCCTGGCCAGTGTCTTTGGGGTTCAGCCATGGGGGATGAAAGTGGTACCCTCCTTAGTGTCTGACTCCACCCCAGCTAAGCTGTGCCTCCCCTCCCAGCGCAGGGCTCCTGGCCCAGCGAGGGTGCCCAAGGCCCACGTGGCCTGGGCACTGCTGCCAGGAAGCAGGAGCACCTCCACCCAGAAGGCCTCCGACCATCTACCCCTCTGTCCCAACAGCCCGCGCCGGGGGCCACCACCTTCCTCCTGCATCTGGGTGGGGCTCCCCACTCTGCACCGCCTGCACCCCACCCCTCGCTGGGTGCAGCTCTCCCCCCTCCCCACCACTCCACCCCCTACCCCCAGTCGCCACCCCCTCCCGAATGCAGCCCTGCATTTTCTTCCTTTTTCCATTCCTGCGTCTTTTTCTTGTTCCCTTTCTGTATTTCTGTTTCTCCTCTCGGCTTGTCTGCATGCAGGCCTGCCTTCCTCTACCTCTCCTTCCTTATCCCCTCCTATCATATCCTATCCTACCTACCCCGTGCCTCGAAGCTGCCTGAACAGGGGGTGGGACGCAGCCTGCCTACTGTTCGTTATGTGGCAGCATCCCGGACAATTTGCATATTCCTCTGTTATTAGTATAGATGCCTCCATGATAGCAACATGGCAGAATGTGTCTCTCTGGCAAAAATGTGAACACATTTACAGTAGATTTTGGAACCCGGTGTGAAATTCCTTCAATAAAGTTACAGCAGTTTCTCTTCATGAGAGAAGCAAATGATTATAATGGTGATAAAGACTAGCAATTATGCCAAACACGAAGCACTTTGTACATTTTAAATCATTTAAGTTTTACAACTACCCTGTGAGATAAGCATTATTATTGTTCCAGATGAGGAGAAAATGAAAGCCTCTTCAGTGTCTCCAAATATTGTTTTTAAACCTTAAAAACAAACCTCAAACAACAACAAATATATCTAATAAAACTGCCCCTTGCAATGACTTGTGAATGAATGAATGAATGACACAAAACAATGATCTATATGTTTCCCAGGTTTGGTCAAGCTCAGTAATATATTTCTAATTCATCCAATAAAAAAAAAAAAATCCCTCCCGAAAGTCAAAACTCTGAAATAAGTTATTATAACACAGCAAGCTGGTCAGTATCTTCTGGAAACCACTTCCCTGTCTTCGTGCCCAGAAAGTGGCCGAATTTTGAGTTCCTGTGTGTCAGTGAAGGAACTAGGGCTCAGGTTGAAAAAAAAAACATTTCTTGGAGGGGTAGGAGGGGGTAAAGATATACAAAACCTTTCAGTTTTCATCTCCTTTTATTTTCCAGATATCTCTAAGCTCAACTCACACCCTGTGTTCTAACCACTGCCAAAATACTTCTAATGCACGTGTCCATTGTTTTGTGTCTTTGAATAAGGTGCTGTTTTCTCTTTCGGAAAAACCACCCACCCCATTTCACCCAGCAGGTACCTGCAATTCCTCCAGCATCCAAGCATTCTGAATTCTGTCTGTCTGTTCATATACTCCAAGGGGGCTAGGGGGAGTGGGGAATGAGGAGGGGGAGAGACAAGGTCACTGGTCTGATGGAGCTTTCATTGTAGTGCAAAGAAAGACACACATTAAGAGAGAAAAAGAAAGAATGAATGGAGGAGAGAGGGAAGAAGGGAAAGAAGTAAGTGAACAGGAGAAGGAAGGAAGCAAGGAAGGGAGGGAGGGAGAGAGGGGGGGAGACAGGCAGACACTACCATGTCATGATGACAGTAATGCAGAGACATATGACGGTGGGTGACTGGGTGGTTACTCACTCAAGTGTCAGGGATCCAGCCACCAGAGCTGAGCTCTGAATGGCAAGAAGCCAGTCATGCAGAGACAGGCACCGCCAGTTCAGACGTGCTGAGCTAGAGAGCAGGCTTGATTCCCAGCACTGAAGGGAGCCAGCGTGACTGAGGTGCAGTCAGTGAGAAAGGCAACAGTCAGATCCCACTGACTTTGTAAGACCAGTAAGAAGCTTCAACTGAAATATTAGAGCAGAGAATTGATACAATCTATTTGAATAAATCCCTCTGACTGTTGCATGCACATTGGATTTTAAGGGGTCAAGTGCAGAAGCAGGAAGACAAGTGAGGATACAGGTACGTGAGTCAAGGTGCTTCCTCTCTGTGCTCACACACGCTTTATAAATACTCAGTATTAACATTAACATGATCTTTAAAAACTCATTTATGTTGTTTCTCTATTACTTAGACAATAAGATCCTCAGAAGCGGGGATGAACCATCATTACAAAATTCTCGTTCCTGCATGAACGAGTTAACAAAATAATGAATGAATAGAACGACACCTGCCCTCAGAAAGCTTAAGGTCTCTAAAGACAACAAACATCCATTCAGATAACCAGATGGCAAAGTAGATTATCCACATTGCAGAGGAGCTAGAAAGCATTATGTTTGAGGGGAGAGGAGGGAGAAAGCATGTTGTCCAACTCAGGGTGTGACAGTGAGTCAGAACATTAGGGGCTGGTTGGTGTTCTTTGACACTGTGGGATGTTAAAACCAAGAGTTTGACAGAGAACAGATTGAGTCGGCTTCCCCTTCTGATGTTTCCCAGCTCCAGATAATGTCTGCGTTTAAACTTAAGAGTTCTGGGTCAGGATGAAACCCAATGAATCTATTGAGAAATTATTTATCTCTGCTGGACTATTCAATAAAAAGTAAACAAGAGGGTCAGATGACTGGGATTGTTCAAATTACAGCAAAACCCTGCACTGGAGAGCAGTGCTCACATTCTAAACGTTTCTTATTGGAGCTATAAAAAATTAGTCCTGAGGAAGAGTGAAGTTTTTAAAATGTATTCCTTCCTCCTTTACTGTATTTCACTCTCCTCAGGGGCTCCCCTGCTGCTACCCAAACATTTGGAGTCCTCAAGGGGCACAAATAGATCTATCTCTATCTATCTATCTATCTATCTATCTATCTATCTATCTATCTATCTATCTATCTATCTATCTATCATTTAGCTATTGCCCATGAGAAAGCACCTCAAAACTTGACTTAAAACAACCATTTATAATATCTCCCAATTCTGTGACTGATCTGGCCAGTTCTTCTGCATTAGTCCAGCTCATCTGGGGCTGAGTGATCTAAAATAGCCTCTCTTTCATGCCTGGGGCTATAGCCAGGACAGCAGGGAAGCTTAAGGCCTTTCTTCACATGGTCTCTCATCCTCAAGGAGGCTTGTCCACACAGTGGCGGAAGGGTTTCCAGCAGCAGCAGGAGAAGGCAAACTTTCCAAGCCTCTGCAGCACATTTTCTAATGTTTCATTGGCCAAAGGAAGTTAGCTGGCCAGGCCCAGGTTCAAAGGAGAGAAAAATAAACTCCACCATTTCATGATGGGAGGCATGGCAAAAATCCCATTGAAAAGGAACATGCATACAGGGATATAAGCAATCTGTGACCATCTTGTGGTCCACTCCATTATTGTTTTGTAGAAACCACGTGCATTTAATTCATACTAAGGTCATAAGGACCCCCTAGCAAGGTGACTTGCTTCTTGCCAAATGTCTCACCTCAAGGAAATCAATCTCCAGAGTTAGAAGTGCAGGCCAGGGACCAATGAGGAGCTGTTCTGCATAGGACACTTCCGCAGCCCTCGCAGTCCTGATCTAGAGGCCGCCACCAGCCTGAGCCCAGTAACCACCTGCCTGAGCACAGGTTCCACACCGCGCCCCCTCCCCTTAAAGGGTTGCATCACAGTGTGCTTCAGATGCATGATTTGACTCACAGAAGAGAGTTTATCAGTCACTTAACTCTACCAAAGGCGTAGTACATAACTGCTTTGTAAATATTGGTTGAAACAGTTGTTTTGTACATGTGTGCATGTGTGTGCTTGTGCGTGTG